ACATACAGGTGACCCCAAACAGTATTTATCTTTCTCCTTCTGGTTCATTTTACTTAGCATAATCCCTTCCAGCTCCATTCACATGACTGTGAATGACATGAGTTGATTGTTTTAGATCACTGAGCAATATTCCATTTGTATAGACACCACATCTTCTTGATCCAGTCATCTGTTTGCAGGCATTTAGTTTGTTTCCTTATCTTGGCTACTGTAAATAGTGCTGCTATAAGCATAGAAGTGAGCAAACCCACACCAGGGACAGCTTTGAGGAAAGTCCCAACACTACCCCAAGCCCCACAGGGCCCAGCCAATGTGCCCACCACCCAGTAAACATCCAGAACAGTAGAAGAGGGGGACCCCTGAACAATAGAAGCCCCAACTACACCAGAGTGGACCTAAAAGTAAATAATGGGGAGAGAGAATAATACAAATTGCCAAGTAAGGCATCAAGGAGACAATACACCAGAGAGAGAAAACAAACTTCCAGAATCCAACCCCAAAGACATGGGAGAGCATTTCTTCCTATCAGACACATAATTTAAAATTGCTACAGTAAATTCAAAGAGATGGAAAATGCAAAGAAATCAGTTCAGATGTATGTAAAAAAACAAATGAATGTGATGAGAAATATAATCAATAAACAGAAGATTAAAAGGGAATAGTAAGTATTTTGGAAAATTTTCTTCTTTAGGGAATGAAAGCTACTTTTCTAAGTCTTCTATTAATTCATTGAATTCTTACAACTCTTCCTTAGAGGCAACAATATCATTCTTTTCTTTGAAAATTCTTATTAAAAAAATATATACCAGAAGGTTTTAGCAAACCTGGCTCTTTGAAAGTAATATGAAGATTCTAGATAGATTAAGGAGACAAGGTTTTAAACTGTATTCCACAGGTAGTTAGGAGGTCCCACTCAAACCCCATGCAAACTCTCTTTCAGGTGTTTTACATTTTGTTGGGTGTCTTGTGATTAAATCTGATCAGAGGGCTCAAACAACGTAAACACGTCGGTTCTTAGGAAAGTGACCACAGCTGGGCAGAAGCTGGGATTGAGCTGGAAGTGGGCACATCTGTTTTAAGCATCACATTTTAATAAAGTGTAGCCTCATCTCCAGAGCTGTTGCGTTAACATTGGAAATTCAGACTTGTGATGGAAGTTGTCACTAGACCATAGCACAAATACTAGAGCCTGGAGAAAAAAAAAAAAAAGTCCTTCAAAGACTTTGTGTTTGTTTTGAAAGTGCCTTGCAAAAAGTATGGTTTTAAAACCTGTTCTTGAATGTGAAATTTTTCTCCTTGAAAAGCCGCTGGCCCTCACGGACACACTGCTACCTTCAAGCATTCACGAAGTAATGAGAATGATGGAGATGCCGCTTTGAGTATTCTAGCAGCAATAACTTATCCACACAGGGCTCTTTAGCAAACAGTAAAATGAATCTGTGGTTCTGCCATTAGAAAGTTCTGTATGTTACTCTTCATATTTTCTGTTGAGGTTTATTTTGAAAATTTAATAATTATGTTTTGAAGAATGATACTTAGTTGCGTGAACATTTAAATGGCTGGTTCCATGCAAAGTTAATGGATCACATCTGACTAGGTAAGTGAGATAGGCACTTTTGGGAGGATCATTTGTAGCTTCTCCAGTCCTATTTAATGAGCTGGAAAAGTAATTTACTAGGTTTAATGTAGAGGTCGGAAACCATCTATTCTAACCCCCCTCCCCCAAGCTTTTGTGCCTTGAGACCATAGCTTATTCACCTTGTAAGGCCTGGTACATTGACTTCTCTAACAAACCATTTTGATCTCTTGATGATGTTGTTCTGTTGGAAAAAAGCATAGAAAATCTAGATTATTTTAGATAAGTAAACTGCATAAAGAGAAATATGTCAGGCAGTCATTCACATTCTAGTATGAATAACTTTATGGGCAGTATTTCTCTCTTTTGGAAAGGGATTTTTTATTTGGAATTATTGGAAATGATTCTAAAAAGTAAAGGTGATCATTGTGCACATTCCTCCAGGTTAAATACATGGAAAGATATTATGTTTTGTTATCACCAAAGATACTCTTAGCTTGCCTTATAAAATTTGCTAAGGGAACTTATTATCCTGTCATATTGTTGGCAATTCCAAAGAATACCTTTTCTGACCAGCTTAACGTTGGTGAGTTAGCCAATTATCCCACCCTAATTTTACTGAGGGCCTTATCACCTGCCAGTTACTATACTAAACGCATTCACCGCACTGTTTTGTTAACTCTCCACTGTAGCATTATGAGGCCTGTGCTACTTAACAGGCTGTAAATTGTGCTTATTCTGCACTGCAAGTAAGCATTGGACATGAGATTCATTTGATCTTCCTTACAATTCTCAAATGTCTGTGCTATAATTTCCCCATTTTACAGATACAGAAATTGAGATATAAATAAATTATATGAATTACCAAAGATCCCACAGCTAGTAAGTAGTGGGACTATAATTTATGCTCAAGCATTCTAGCTTCAGAAACTTAAATACAGTTGTAATGATGTTATCCTTATCAGTGAGAAAATGGAAGCACAGGAATAATAACTCTGACATGGGCAAAAAATAACACGAACAGGGACCTGAACTTAGGCAGCCCATAAGACCACGTAACTTGCAAAATTCTTGCTTCCACCACCCTGCACATCTTCTCTCCTTTGACCACTCATTCCCAAAGTCACACATGTCTTCTTCCAACCTCAATAAGGATTTCACTGGGAGCTTAAGATAAGTTAACTATAGGAATAGAAAAGCAAAAACTTAATAAACTAAATATCATTTATTTACCTTGCTATCTAGTTTGCTTTCATTCTGAATAGATTTTGGACAGTAGTTTGTTATGAATGTTGCATCCTCTTTGAATTAATTGCCAGTATCAATGACTTCTTAACCATGCCTAGAACAGAGTGTTGTCATCTTTAATGACTATATGTATCACCTGATGCTCTTGTTAAAATGCAAATTCCGGCCCTCCCTGGTGGCGCAGCGGGTTAAAGCACTGCACAAAGAAGCTTAAGCCACTTCCGCATGAGTTTGATTCCCGCCTGCCCCCGGAGGAGACCACATGGCGTGGCAGACCTCTCCTGGCCCGCCCGCTGCTCCCCTCAGCAGTGTACTTCGTCGATCTGCCTGTTCTGCACCCCACTATGTCTCTGGTGAATCCTCTCACCCTCTGCATCTCTGGCCTGTACCCCAGTTCTGTATGAATAAATAAATCTTTAAAAAAAATGCAAATTCCAGTTCAATGGTTTGGGGGTGAACCTGAAACCACATTTCTAGTATGTTCTCAGGTGATGCTACTGGAGCTAGAATAGGGTCCATACTTTGACTAACAATGCTAAAACACTGAGTTTTTCCAAACTGTACATAAAGATTTATTCGAGGACCAAGAGTTCATATTGAGAAAAGGGTGTTTTCATAGATGGAAAGAACATTCGCAGAATGTAGGAGAGTCAAACCTGGGCAGATGGGAATGGCTTGTGAGAGAAGATCTGAGCCACACAGATTGTAAGGATTAGAAGGGACTTTCATGGTTATTGGGTTCAGTCACCCCATTGATATTTGAATCTTGTCAGATTTCTCTCAGGTCAGCTCAGCTTTTGAGTTAAAGAATTATCTATGATGAACTGAAGTAAGCATTCAATAGAAGAATCAAATTGCAAGATGGCGCCTCATTTGCAAAAACCATCTAAGTGAAAAACATAAAAACTGTGATGTCTTGTTTGTTCAGACACATTTGTCTTCATAATACATTTTCAGAGTCTGAATATTTATTCAAAAGCATGAGCCTCCCTAGTGGTGCAAGGGGTTAAGTCTCAGCACTATTAAGCTTTTACCAGCCACACACAAGTTCACTTCTTGGCCAGGGAGCTGACCCATGTAACGCAGCAGACCTCTCCTGTCATGCCAGAGGCTCCCCTCAGCAGTGTTTCAGTTGATTTGAGTGTCCTGCGTCCCACCCTGTCGCTAGTGAATCCTCTTATCCCACCGCCCACACCTCTGACCTACACCCCAGTTTGTGTATATATAAATAATTCTTTTGAAAAAAAGCTTATTAAAGCCAGGAAAAAAAAGGAAAAATATTAGATGGTTTCACTCATAGCAGGAGTATAACGGACCAGGCAAGAAAATAATAATAATAATGAACAGCCATATACCGGAGACATTTTATGGAGATAGAGTGGGGAATCAGATCAAAAACAGTGGGGCGAGGGAAATGCACTGGACTATGGTGATGGCACATGGCTGATTTGGTGATGGGAAGCCCACGGGGATTTCAACTGAGATGGAAAATGCACAAAATGATGTAAAAATAAACTAGTATATGGCCCTCCCTGGTGGCGCAGCGGGTTAAAGCACAGCACTGAGAATCTGAAGCCACTTCCGCATGAGTTCGATTCCCGCCTGCCGCCTGCCGGAGGAGACCACATGGCGAGCCAGACCTCTCCTGACCCGCCCGCTGCTCCCCTCAGCAGTGTACTTCGTCAATCTGCCTGTTCTGCTCCCCACTCTGTCTCTGGTGAAGCCTCTCACCGTCCCTGAGCCTCTGGCCTGTACCCCAGTTCTGTATGAATAAATAAATAAATCTTTAAAAAAAAAAAAAATAAACTAGTATATTATTTTTTTTAAAAAGCGTATTAAACTTACCATTTTATAATAAAAATAAATGCTAAAGGAGAACATGCTGGAAGTGCTTATTCCCCCACTACAGAATAAAGACTAGTGTTCACTGGCAGGTGAGAAATAGAACATCAGACAGAAGTTTGAGAGCTGGGCTGTGTCTTTGCATCTCTGAGGGCCCTTGAGAAATCGTTTTCCAAGATTAGGAATCATCAGTCTGTGACTGGTTTCTTTCATTTTGATTTTACAGCCTGCACCAAAGACATTCCTAGTTGGGTCTTCTGTTTTGGAGGGATGTCAACTTCCTCTTTCCTTTTCCTCACACTGTTGTTTGACAGTTTTCTGCTTCCTGTTTCAGGTGCCTGGGGAGAGCGAAAAACAGTGGAAGCCAGCCCTAGTTGTGCTGACTGAGAAGGACCTTTTAATCTATGACAGCATGCCACGGAGGAAGGAAGCTTGGTTGAGCCCAGTTCACACCTACCCTCTTCTCGCCACCAGGTAGCCTCACGTTGTTTGAAGTTTGAAACTACTTTTGATTCACACTGTTATTTCAACACATCATACCACAGCTTACTCTTACAACCATAGCCACGAGCTTCTCCAGAATAAAGCCACGTATGTTTAGCCAGAGAGATGAATGATCATTTAAAGTCAAACATGGAGCAGCACAGGGACAAGAATAACCTGCTTCTCCATCCTGAAGGGACAGGGGCATCTCTCAGAGGGTCCCAACCTCACCCTCTTCCTGGATGTCCCTGAACACCCAAGCTCTATACCCGTGTAAACAGTCGGAAGTGCAAGCTGAACCACCCAGCCGAGGCTTTCCTTAGTGGCATAAAACAGGCCTTATGGGTATGCCCGCTGTGCTTTTTAAGGCTCTCTATCACAAGAGTCCCCATAAGTTCTTCTGTTATGTGGGGGCTTCCTAGGAAATGGGGCTTCCTGTTTCTTAAGACCTTCAGTGCACATTTATTGTTCGTGTGAAATATGAGTTCAGAGGAGACTGACTAGAGAAAACCTTCCTGGACTAAGGCTAAATCCAAGCCTAGATCATTTAAAATATTATAATAATAATATAAAAATTTATGCATGTCATTTGATTTTGAGTTGCTAAGAGTCAAAACCTTCGGTAAGTTAATTATTGAAGCACTATTGATATTTCCAATGAAACCTCAATAACCAAGATCCAAACACCCTAAAATGTTCCTATAAAGATTCAGGCAATGCCAGGGAGTCCATACAAATTCAGCCCAATCTCCATCACTTTCTTCAGTTTAAGTCCATAATCTCACCCAGCAGGGTCAGCAACGGGATTTGGAACCGTTGGGAAAATTGAGATTAACTCTGTGTTAGACCTCTTTCCCCAGAAGTGGAACGAGACACCAGGAATAGTAGGGAGTGAGATAGTCTGTTCCCAGGGGAATCGGAGAAGGCAGTCTGAGAACCAGAGACAAGACAGGAAGCAGAAGGACCTAGAACTGAGGAGCTGCATATACAACATGGTGGCCACCAGCCACTTGGTTATTTAAATCATTTTAAGTTAATTAAAAACTTGAAAACGGGGCCCTCCTGGTGGTGCAGCAGGTTAAAGCACAGCACTAAGAAGCTAAAGCCACTTCGCATGAGTTCGACCCCCACCCCGGAGGTGACCACATGGCGTGGCAGACCTCTCCTGACCCACCCGCTGCTCCTCTCAGCAGTGTACTTCGTCGATCTGCCTGTTTTGCTCCCCGCTCTGTCTCTGGTGAAGCCTCTCGCTGCCCCTGAGCATCTGGCCTGTACCCCAGTTCTGTATGCACAAATAAATAAATCTTATTAAAAAAAAAAAAAAAAAACTTGAAAACTCAGCTCCTCAGACAGACTAGCCACATTTCAAGTGCTCAACAGTTGTGACTAGTAACTGCCATTTAGGACAGCAGAGTCTGGCATCATCACAGAAAGTTCTATAGCACAGCAGCATGCTGGAGCAGAGGTGGTTGAATCATCAGAGTTTGACCCAATTCAGGCAAGGGATACCTGCACCCCTGGCGCCCATCCAAAGCTAAGGAAGCCCGGAGTGGTGCCATCTTGTAGGCACTTCAGAATCTCCACACAAGTCGGCTCCACGGGATGGGGCAAGTCCTACAGAAGGCCATGGCAGGGACCCCTTAAAAGGGTAAGGGAGAGGCGTGCACAGAAACAGTCGTAGCGTCTGAAGAGCTTTGAGTGCTGCACCAGAAGTGTCCGGTACAAAACTGTGACCAGTCACAGGGATTCCAGGTTTATATTATGCGCAAAGCACATGAAGAGCCTAAACCTTTAAGCTTCTGTCCCACTTGGAAATAGAAAATGGAAGCCACTGCAGTATGACCTGCGCCCACATAGGCGAGAAGACAGCACCATAAAAGCAGTTCCGTCACCTACACTTGAAAGCTGCCTCAGTGATTCTTGAACTCATTGTCCTTTCTCCCCTTAACTGCAAAAGAAAAATTTGTTTAATGTAAGGGCTGTTAGCCTGATAAGCGATAATAATATCCTCCTGACCTTGATCACCATCTGCTAGCTTGTGAGGCAACAGTATGTCTAAGATGCTGATGTGGACGGGCTATTCCTGTCTCAGCTCCTCCAGCAGCAGCCTGGAAAAGCAGGAGTGGGAGTGGTCACCTACTCTTCCTTCCTCCAGGCCGGAGCTTACCTCCAGGCTGATCACCCAACCTCCCTTTCACTGAGTTCTCAACTGCTAAATGGAGGAGCGCATGGTCCCCAATGCCCAGAGCAAGGCAGATTCTTGTGAAATAAGTTTTTTTTTTTTTTACTAAATTTCTGTATTTTTTTTTTTTAAGATTTATTTATTTATGCATTAGAACTGAGGTACAGGCCTGAGGTGCAGGGGCAGTGAGAGGATTCACCAGAGACAGAGTGGGGAGCAGAACAGGCAGATTAATGAAGTACACTGCTGAGGGGAGCAGCGGGCGGGTCAGGAGAGGTCTGCCGCGCCATGTGGTCACCTCCGGGGCAGGGATCGAGCTCATGCTGAAGTGGCTTTAGCTTATTAGTGTTGTGCTTTAACCTGCTGCGCCACCATGGAGGGCCCTAAAATTGGTTTTTAACTGGCCACTTCTCTTCCCCTCCTCCTCTGGATGCTTTCAAGTGTTAGCTTTTAAACTTGTCTTTATCTGACCCTTAGTTTTTTTTCTCTCTATTCCACCTAGAAGTGACTCTGTTCGGTATTTGTCTTCCTCCTTCTGACTTTCTCACTTTACTATAAACGTGAAAAACTGGAACACACTCCAGTTTTGCTCAGTCAGACCCCAGCAGACAGGCTGTATGACCTTGAGCAAATCACTTTTCTGATTCTCAGTTTCCTCATCTAAAAGCTGGGATCATACGGTGTACTGCAGGCAGATTAGTAACATTAAAATATGATGACTTTATTAGTCAGCACCGGCGATCATAAAAATATCATTGAGTTGGTGTAGCTCAAGCAACAGGTATAATTTTGGAGACTGGATAGCTGAGGCCAGAGGGCCAGTGCGGTCAGTATCTGGTGACCACATTCTTCCTGGTATATAGATGGCCGCCATTTTGCTGTGTGTTCTTATCACTACGCTGTGCATAAGTGTGTGCTGGGGATGGACCAGAAGAACTCTGTGATGTCTCTTATCATGAGGGCACAAATTCCGCTAGACCAGGGACCCATCCTATGACTTCATTTCATCTTAATGACTTCCCCATAGACCCCTATTTCCAAATCCTGAAATACTGGGCTTAGGATTAGGGCTTTAACGTGTGAATTGGGCTACGGGAGCAGAATTCAGTCCTCCTATACAGCTGTTTTAGCATAGAGCTTGGCACTAGCGGGACCAGACACCCGTCAGCTCCCTGTCCTGCCCCTTAGCGGTGCAGGGAAGCTCGGTGGTCAGACATAGTCCTCCCTCATGAAGAAGAAATGACTGGGACGACAGCCAGTGGGAAACAGATTTCCTCTAAATCAAGTTACTCCCTCAGACAGTTCAAAGTTGATTTGTTTGTTTTTTCTTATTAGATGCAGGCACACCTAATTTCTATTTTTCTGAATATGAAAAATTTGATTGGGGTTCATGGCTGTGGCACGCGAAACCCTGATACCGTATCATTAGTGCCCACTGCAGGTGGAAGTTGGCTGCGCTCGCCTCTGACCCAGGCGCAGACACAGACGCAAGGCCCGGGGCCCTCTGCTCGCAGTCCTGATGCAGTTTACGGCAGAGTGCTCAGAAAGTCCGTATCCACGTGGTCATTTTAGCTCTTCCCATCTCTCAGCTTTTTATGAGTCGTTGGGAAACAGTGTTTGCTTCGCCAAAGCTTATTTTAGGTTGCTGAACATGTGCTAAGAGGTACTCTTGTCCACGTGGAATGAATGCGGTGTTGTTTTATCACTGCCGTCATAACTGGCAAGTGAGCTAGGCCTGGTGAGAGCCAGCGTTAAGGTCACAATATTTCTGGAATGCTGGAAGAGGCTTAACCCAGAAATTCTGCACACCCAGCCCCAGGGCTTGGTGAAAGTTCAAGAACAGAGTTTGTAATAAGAGTGAAGTGGCTTTGAGCCCAGTTTTCCGACATGTGGGCCTGCGAGGAGGGTTTGGGGAGCTGAGGACCTCATGAAGATGCGCTTCTTTCTTTTCACATCATCATGACCAGGGACCCAGAGGTGTGCACAGTGCGAGAGCTTTGTTGTCTAAGGACCCAACCTGTTTGCAAGTGCTGAACTGCCTCAGGCTAGCCTCAGAAACTGTAGGAATGCTTTCTGCTGAGAAGACTTGGCCAGTTGCATTAGTCACACATGAAATTACAGTCAGCCTGTGGTTTGCACACTAAGCCTGGGAGGCCTCCCCACTCTTAGAGAATGTGGGCCATTTTGTGGACGGACCTTAGGGTAGCATAGAAGGAGCCGTATGCCCCAGGTTCTATATTCTGTTCAAATGCCCACCCACCCACGCCCCTGGTCTCCATAGACCTATTGCTCACCCTCAGGTGAACCCCTTGCCCGCCTTTCTACCACTGGGATGCTCCTCTAAGTTGGTAGGTGGGAGATTAGCATAGTAGGAGTCCCAAGGAATCAGACACACCAGGAGTTGATCCCCAGAGATTGTGGGTGACACACTCTCTTTCTCTTCATCTGAGTCGTCTCGGCTATATGAAGGGGTGACAGTATCTTCTGTTCCAAGCAGTTATTGGTAAGACTGGTGGAGATGGTATATGTTAAATGTTTCATATTTGACTGAGCTACCATAAGTGACTGGGAAATGTTGCCGCCTGATAAGGCAGGAGAAATGAGCACCTTAATTTATGAATGACTAGGAAGTCAGTTCACATATTTGACCCTAGCAGTAAAATACTTCATTTATCAGGGACTTGTAAAACCTTAAATCAAAGTTATTAAGATGGAAAGACTGGGCTGATGAAGTCCTGTTGTTTGGTTTTGTAGGGACAGGGAGGTGTGGAATGAAAATGGGGAGACTGGAACCCCTGAACTCGCAGAG